TGTGTCTTAAGATGTGGCCGGGGCGAGTCACTCCGCTCCTCATACACGCTACACGCACTTAAAACACCACTAAACGTAAACAAACACCCCTGAACTATAACCGTTGCCGGCAGAAACTGGGGTGCATGTTGATGCTCTCTCAACAGGTGCAAGGACTGTGAGCAACATTGTTTTTGATTGTGATAAGGGCACGGATGTTGCAATAGTGATGGCATAAGTGTTTCTTAAAAGAAAGTTTAAGATCACTTGATATATTGCTTCCCATAGCTAGACGAGTTCTGGGCTTTGTAAACGCTTAAGAATTCGGGTGACATTTTCAGGGTATTTCTCCTTGGAAAAAAGTTTAGGGTTTGTGTGGAATGTTTAACTAATTTATTAGAAATAAGTTTGAGAACGCTAAAGCCAGCCTAGGCCTACTAGGTGACTACTAGGCTGACCGGGGAGACGAGGCTGGAGGTTCTAAGGTGAGTACATGATTGGAAGAGGTGACCAGGTGGTTCTCACCACCTGTCTGGCAGGGACCAGGTGGACCTCGCCATCTGTCTGGTAGTGACCAGGTGGTCGTCACCACCTGGATATGAGGGACTAGGTGGTCTTCACCACCTGGATCTGGCAGGGATAAGTGGCCCTAATGACCAAGGAAGCAAGAGAGGTTCACCTACGACAGGTGTTGTCTTAATATAAGACGTAATAACACAAACATGTAATAGAAAGGTAACAGGTGTTGAGAGAAAACACTAAAGGTAATCATTGATCCGTTGACCGCGGGTCGGGCAGTCTTATCATATCCTATTAATATAATATATTTTGCCCCGAAGAGCTGGTTTATTGGGCAGCGTCATGCGATAAACTTGAGTGTGTCTTGGCAAAGGACTGAGAGCGGTGATGCGAAATGGAAGCCATGGCAAGTGAGGTCAGGTCAGGTCAGGTCAGAGGTGTGATGATGGGGTTTTATGGGGGTGGTATGGGGCGGGCTGAAGAGGTCTGGGCTTGAGGTCTCTTTGGGGAATATCCAAATACTCTTGTTAAGGGATAATCCTTTGAACAGTAAGTACCTGCTTGATGGGTTTCTGGGAGTTCTACTCGCCAAGCCTGAGACCAGGCTTGACTTGTGAGACTTATCGAAAGAAGGCCAAGTCAGGGAGGCTATGTAGCACATTCTTTGATCAGACTTCCAAATGGTCTCCGGAACTGCGTAAAATTTGCGCTGTATAGAGTTTAGTCCAGTTAATTTATTATCTATAGCATACTCATCGCGTGAGAAGTCGTGGGAAAGGTTACAACAATAATAGGCATAGGAACTGAACCCTTGAATTAATTTAAGCAAGTATGTGACAGTCTTGAACGCTAGTTAGTTACATAAGTTAATGCCAACAATTTGTTGGGGGGTTTAAAGAACTGAACCACAACAGCCGCTGCTGTAGGCTAAGCAACACACATTTGTGATGAGCAGGTTACAAATCATTTTGATCTACTTATCATGCACTATATAGAGGGGGCTAGGTAGTTTATGAGAGCGTAGTATCGTGCGTGGGTCTGGGCCTGTGTGACCTTGACCACTGGCTCTGTGTTATATCAAGGGAGCTTAGCCTAGTGTTCCTCCTTCCTCCGCCTCCCTCGCCGCTGTGGCTGCGCTCCAATGGAATGTGAAGCTTTTCCTGCTTTTTATTGCACTGGGTTAGGATTTTAGGTTTAAGATTGAAGGCGAATTCTTATGTTGGTAATTAATGCTTTGTCGGTACAACGTTTAGCGACATAAACAAACGCCAATAAACATAAATTAACATATATATAATAATCAGAAAAATAGGCTTTATATATACATATATATATATATTGGTGTATACTGGCAGCAGGTTTTCTTTCAAACATGTTTCATTGAATATGACCGCATATTCTGTATTTATTATTTTCTGGTTTAGGGCTTCTATCCCTCTAACTATTTTCTTAGCATCAGGGCTTAATTGAAATAGGAGTTCTCCAAAACTCATTTTCGTACTTTTAAGGTGAAGAAAAGAAGTGATTTACTATAGAGTGTATTACACTTATTTGTATAATTTGCACGACGTCGTGCAAATTATACAAATAAGTGTAATACACTCTATAGTAAATCACTTCTTTTCTTCACCTTAAAAGTACGAAAATGAGTTTTGGAGAACTCCTATTTCAATTAAGCCCTGATGCTAAGAAAATAGTTAGAGGGATAGAAGCCCTAAACCAGAAAATAATAAATACAGAATATGCGGTCATATTCAATGAAACATATATATATATATATATATATATATATATATATATATATATATATATATATATATATATATATATATATATATATATGTCGTACCTAGTAGCCAGAACTCACTTCTCAGCCTACTATGCAAGGCCCGATTTGCCTAATAAGCCAAGTTTTCCTGAATCAATATATTTTCTCTAATTTTGTTCTTATGAAATGATAAAGCTACCCATTTCAATATGAATGAGGTCAATTTTTTTTTATTGGAGTTAAAATTAACGTAGATATATGACCGAACCTAACCAACCCTACCTAACCTAACCTAACCTATCTTTATAGGTTAGGTTTGGTTAGGTAGCCGAAAAAGCTGGGTTAGGTTTGGTTAGGTAGGTTAGGTAGTCGAAAAAACATTAATTCATGAAAACTTGGCTTATTAGGCAAATCGGGCCTTGCATAGTAGGCTGAGAAGTGCGTTCTGGCTACTAGGTACGACATATATATATATATATACACATATACACACACGCGCGCACGAGTGCCACACGAGGCTCGCCAGGATGCCACATATCGTCGTCTTCGAGGTCCCCTACAAACGCAACCAGAGGTGGTACCCGTCCACCTTATAGCCTAATGATTTCAAGAATTGGATCACAACAATCGCTTATCTCAGGAATTTAAACTTGGGGTGAGATAATTAAATTACACAGTTGTAATATACTTACCATGAAGCACACACGTGTAACAATGTCTGAATCTACAGCTTCGATTGCTTATGAACTTAATTTTTTTAAGATAGTGAATCCTTGTTGCAAATGTTAAATTATGATTTACATGGCTTATATGATAGTTACTGCAGATAATTTTATAATCTGTAAAATATGCAAGAAATGTGAAGTTGTGTAATCTGAAATCCCGTGTGAGGGTTGAGGTACTGGTAATCTAGATAGGCTAGATTATTTGGCATTAAGTTAGGCTTGAAGGCTGCTTACCCCACACTCACAGGTTAAAGTGTGTGTATGGTATTTAGCCCTCTTGTTGTCATTGTAGTTTCTATACAGCGGAGACATTACACTAAAGTACTCTAAATTTATATTTTATATTTTCGAGAGATTAATTGTATTATTGAGCCTCATGGTTTTGTCATTTTGTAGAGGCGTTATTGGTTATGACAGAAAGGGTTAGATGTGCAAATGTGCAGAATAGCCCCGTTGAAAAGTTGAGATGCAATGCGTATGGTAAGACATAATTCTATAAACATTAGGGGCCCCCAAGACTTTTAAAATACTTTTCCTTTCAACACAAGAGACATAACAAGCCGGCCTCTATTGGTATTCAAAAAGGGAACTTGGCAAACTCCTCCATAGGGTACTTGATCTACTTATCCGTCAAACTGCGAGCAGCTGCAGCTGTCAGCCTGCTTGACCAAATGGTCAACCAGGCTTGGACAGACACCAGGTCGCGGGGACATTGATCCTTGGAACATAACCTCTCTTCTCTACCAGGATTCTACACTCACCTCTTTATTACTATCCTTTACCCACCTCTTCTCTACTCACCTTTATCACGAAGCTACACTCACCTGGTATGTTACCTATCGTTATCAGCCGCCGTCCCCAACACGTTATCAATAACTATCTCTCTGTCACTCGCCTACACTCCGCGCACTAAACTTGTAAATAACAAAGATTACCTTGATAACCGGACCATCCAGCTCTGGCGACGTGTTTACCACCACGCAAGTTGCTGACCAGTTGCATTGATGAAGATGAAGCCAGCCAAGAGGTGGTACGGGCATGAATAGCCCGTTATGTTGGACTGATGGTCAGCCCTTAATATTGTCTTAGAGCTGAGTGCCAGACGAGCCTGCCACCAAGTGGGAGAACAAGAAAATATTGTTGGAAACATTGAGGACATAGCTATTGAAGACTTTATAGGTTTACACCATACAGTCTACCTGTTATATAGGTGGATCGATAAAGCCGTATAGGCTACAGGCTGCAGGCCAGCGTAGGCTACAGACTCCAACAACCAGAAACAAGTGTTGCCAGGAGACTAGGCTCTATGCTCTACCTTCCACACAAGAACCTCTGAAATACTCCCTCAGGGAACAGGTGGTCATTCCCATAGCTTTGCCAGGAGTAATAGAGCAATTACTCAACCGCTTCAAATACCTGTACATTTCCTCCATCATGGCGGCTTTATATATTTGTCAACAGTTTACGAGCTTGGAAACTGCATAACCCAACCCTTTTATACCTCTTAGGTAAGCAGTGTTATAGACCTAATGTCTTCCGAGTCACTTATGATGGTAATATCATGATGTTCGTCTTTTCGGATGCGAAGATGACCACGACTTCAATATATCAGGTGGAAGGTCGGTGACTGCGAGTCAGATGACGGAGGATGAGACCAATCTGGGTGGGGAAGGCTCGCCCACACAAGAAGCAGGTGTGGGGGTGGGTGCTACTGCAGAGGACGGGCTGGCTACTGCAGAGGTGGAAGGTTACTCTAGCTTTGCGCGCGGTGCGTTTCCTCTGGGCCTCTGCAGTCCCTCTACTTTTTGCCGCACGGGACCCTGTCGTGACGGAGGTTGAACCAATGAACCACATTATATAGTAAGGTATTACGAAGAGAACTGACTTTGACTAGACCTATACAATGTATTCGCATAGGTCTAATGGCTCACTTTAGGCCTCGAAGGTTGTCTATAATTATTATATTGATGTTTTTACTGTCTCCATTAACTTGGTTTCATCTTCGACAGGTTGCACCATCTGCCTGGGAAGAAGTAACTGTTTCCGGTTCAACCACCCAGCTGAGGCGGAGCACATGAGAGCCATCCTACCTAACACCAGGATCAGCATGGTGCCTGTTAACTTTTATCCCGGTAAGTCACTTCATCACCACTAACACGCCAATGTTCCCATCGTCATGCATTGGCTTGGCCTTAGTCCTTAATAACCCTCCTGGGGCTTATCAGCATCGGGAGGGTTATTAAGGTCACCACAATAACTTATTGACCAACCAGCACGTATACTTTAATCCTGAACATTATCCAGGCCTAAAGTAAACTCAGTGTATATACCAGCATGGGTTCAGGGATGGTAAGTCGTGCCTCACAGGCTTAATAGAATGCCATGACCAGGCGACAAAAGTTAGGCAAGAAAGAGAAGAGAGGGTAGACTGCATTTGAAAGAAATGTCAGAAAGCCTATGACACAGTACCCCATAAACGGCTACTGAAGTTTGCTTTTTATACGTGAAGTTTGTTTTAAAGACTAAATTCACCATAACTATTGGGACCGTCTCAAAGGTCTCAAAATGTAGTCAAGAAAGGAATCTTTCTTCAAAAAGGAAAGGAAAGGAGTGACCCCCGGAAGCGATGATTCCGGGGGTTAATGTCTCTGCGGCCCGGTCTCTGACCAGGCCTTCCAGGTATCACATAATGTATACCTGGATGATATTGGAAGGCCAAGTCTCAAATTTCTAGAGTAAAATAACATAATGGAGCGAAATATATGGTCCGAAATGCAGAATAGATCCGGTGAAAGAGTAGAGGTGTCATAGGTAGATTGGAACACATTAGAGGTCCACGGCTGTTTAGTAACCTCCCACGACCCCATCTCTATTTATGCTGCCCGTTCTCCCGAGCGTTCACAAAACGGTGGTATTAATGACCTGAACCTAACCTACCCGATAACCCACTAACAGAAAACGGGACCATATAAATTTTGCGAGCCGCTCCCACTTTTAATACACGAGTTTTTGGCCTTAGGAAAATTATATGTTCCAAATGCGATGTTCTATTCAGGAAAACGGGTTGGCTTATCAAGAGGATTAATATAACAAGATTATATTAATATATTTATTATATTCCTTATAACAAGGTTATATTAATGGCATTGCTAATAAGGCCTCTAGTCTACAATCCTCGACTTAGTTGATGTGGGGCAATGGCCACTCCTCTATCGAGTTATTAAAGCAACCTCAATAGCTTAGTATCTATACATAAACTATAATTTTTTTATTATCATAGTTCTGTACCAAGTAAATTATCAGTGTATACATACAGAGAATCAGGATACCCTTCTCGTAGACTATATGTTTCCTATCTGTGCCGGACTTAATAAGTTGTATAAATCAATATATATAAATGTGTAATGACTGATGACTAGCGAGCAACGGGGCTCCGCATTGCGACAGCAGGGGGAAGATATGTAACTGTGTCTCAGGCTAAGACACATCAATGCTCTCACTCTTCCCATTGGGCGGGCTCGTGTTCTCTTCAATGTACATAGCTGAATAAATATAGAATCTTTCATCAGTGAAGGCTCGCATGTCACATGTTTTTAAGAGACGGCCAGTGATGACAGGGTGATACTATTATAATTATTATTTTTGTACAGAAATTGAAAATTATTATTATTTGATGTGATGCACACTTTTAGTAATCAATGAATGGGGAAATACATTTGAAGAAATTATGGATAATCTGCTTTGATTTCGTTGTTTGCGTAAAAATAAGTGAACAATTCTTACTGAGGAATTCAGTCTTAAACATTAGGCGTTATAAATTTTATTTCCTATAAATTCCTGACTCAGAATGCATTGTTTATGAATATGAAAACATTAAAAAAGGATATTTATGTATGTAGTAAAAAATTAAATTTGTGCTTGCGATTTATTATAATAGTAATTCATTATATATCGTTTCACTCCCCCACGTCTGGCTCCGGTTGACGGATACGGTTGGGCAAGACCGAGGAATTTTTCACGAAGTGGTAATCAAGAGAATAGGCTTGGGAATGTGTGTGTGTGGCCGAATGGAACATAGGCTTCAATATAACAAAATATTGTTATCTTGAGATAATCTCTAGAGGTTATCTAAATATTTTTCTTAGAAGTTAATTCTAGCATCAAAATATAGTTTTTTTTTTAATTTGTGTTGATCATTGTACTTGGAATATTAACCCGCTGCTTATGGACGCGCGGGAAAATAGTCTACACATTCCAGCATCGTTGTATAAATAACAATTGCAGTAAAGTGTGACCATGGAGTGATAGCACATAAAATGAGGTCAATTGTAATAACAGGTCAAGTAGGGCGATGAGTATTCAATTTCCTCTCAAGCAGAAGGCAAAAGGGTTTCAGTCCAATCAAGTCCAAGCTCAGTAAAAAAGCTCTGTACCGCAGGGCACAGTCCTGGCACCACTGCTTTTTCTTATTCTCATGTCAGATATAGACAAAAATACAAATCATAGCTTCGTGTCATCCTTTGTAGACGACACAAAAGTCAGCATGAAAATTACTTGGGTAGAAGACACGGAAAAACTACAGGCTAATATTAATGAAGTTTTCGATTTGACAACGGAAAATAATATGTTTAACAGTGAAAATTTTCAGGTACATAAGTATGAAAAAATGCAAATCTTAAACAAAATACTGAGCACAAGACCATCAGATCTACCCATAGAAGAAAAGCAGCAATAGAAAGGATCCAGGAATAACGATGTCTGACGACCAAACAAGCTGAAATGAGAGGGAATACAGAGAACATATACGGCACACATAGACACGATAAACCACCGAAGTTATTGGCACCCTCACAAAGCTCTCAAAATGTACTCCCTAGCTAGGAGACCAGAGAAATTGAAATTGAAATAAGTTTATTGAGGTAAAATACACACAAAGGGATGAGGTAGCTCAAGCTATTCTCACCCCGTTCAGTACGAGACCAGAGAGGTATTACAAAATATATGGTACACGGAAAATCAGGAGCGTTCGGGCCATGTTTCCTTTCACCCGATTCGTCTGTTCACCCTAAAGCAGTTAAATTTGTACATGGTAGTTTGAGGAAATTATTGTGGGTTGCATCTTGTGGATGGGGGGGAGGTAAGAAGGTTGCCTAGGAAGGGTTTCAGGTCAGGAGGAAACCCTTGCCTAGCAAGGGTTTCCACACCTTTCTGGGAACGACGCTGTTTCTGACCTCAGATGACCCCTCCCCCCAAGGGGATCGCCACCAGGTGGGAACCACAGGTAAGAGACCTCTCAGACCCACGGGGGCTTCCTGTTTCTGACAATGAGAAACCTGAAGATGAAACACAGTTGCCACCTCAACTCATTCTCTTGGGAATGAGTTAGCGACTAAATGGTCTTGGATGATAATTGTATACATGATGATGTCTTCATTTTCTCTATGTGGTCTCTTCTTTTATTCCCAGCTTCCTTGAGGTGATCCCGAGGATCAATGTCACCGCGACCCTGTTTCCATCGAAGCCTCTTGGTTGATGGTCAGGTCAAAGTTCATATTTGTTTCAATCTGGAAATAATTTTTATTGAAATTTGTTATTTGTATTACAATTTGTGAGTGTGTGTGTACGGAGACTTTAAGGGCAGAATTATTCACATCATTCTTTGACGGTTTGATCAGTCACACTGTAGGGGCATGCAGTTTGCAGTACCACAATGGTACCTCCACTCATCCCAGTGTTTTGGGATTCGCTGTGAAATTCATTCACAGCAGGAATGCCAACATATGTTTACCATGTATCAGAGTTTGGTATTGGACCTGAAGCCTATCACACTCTGGAGGATTATTAAGGCCACCACAACAGCCTAGTGACCCCTTCAGTAAGCATTTTTTAGTCTGTAATAATAGTCTATGTAAAGTAAACTCAGTGAACTAGACTAGCTCGGGGTTTACATAAAGCAAGTTTTCTTAATCTTGATTTAATGTTACCGAGAACTTATATAATTATTGTATTCCTTAAATATTAATATCACAAGACTTGTTATTTTTTGTAAGCAAAAGGTACTAATTACTTCAATAAGGTTAACTGTACCTAATTTAAGTGGTCTCATTAATACTTTCGACAGCTATTTTCTAAACAAATATTTGTTTTGGGGGGACGGAAAAGAGCATTAAATAGATCACATCCTTTTAGAAGGGATTCTGTGGGGGTTTGTAACCTTGAATTCCCTCCGTAAAATACCAGCTAAAAAACAGTAATTGTAGCAAGTAAACGGAGTAGTTATTGTTAATGGAGGTTTTGTTGCTGTTACTTGGGACACCAGTAGTTACTGTGAGGCTGGAGACACTGGTAGTTACTGTGAGGCTGGAGACACTGGTAGTTACTGTGAGGCTGGGCACACCGGTAGTTACTGCGAGGCTGGGCACACTGGTAGTTACTGTGAGGCTGGGCACACCGGTAGTTACTGCGAGGCTGGGCACACTGGTAGTTACTGTGAGGCTGGACACACTGGTAGTTACTGTGAGGCTGGACACACCGGTAGTTACTGCGAGGCTGGACACACTGGTAGTTACTGTGAGGCTGGACACACCGGTAGTTACTGTGAGGCTGGACACACCGGTAGTTACTGTGAGGCTGGACACACCGGTAGTTACTGCGAGGCTGGGCACACTGGTAGTTACTGTGAGGCTGGGGACACCGGTAGTTACTGTGAGGCTGGACACACCGGTAGTTACTGTGAGGCTGGACACACCGGTAGTTACTGTGAGGCTGGACACACCGGTAGTTACTGTGAGGCTGGACACACCGGTAGTTACTGTGAGGCTGGACACACTGGTAGTTACTGCGAGGCTGGACACACTGGTAGTTACTGCGAGGCTGGACACACTGGTAGTTACTGTGAGGCTGGACACACCGGTAGTTACTGTGAGGCTGGACACACCGGTAGTTACTGTGAGGCTGGACACACCGGTAGTTACTGTGAGGCTGGACACACCGGTAGTTACTGTGAGGCTGGACACACCGGTAGTTACTGTGAGGCTGGACACACCGGTAGTTACTGTGAGGCTGGACACACTGGTAGTTACTGCGAGGCTGGACACACTGGTAGTTACTGCGAGGCTGGACACACTGGTAG